TATATAATAATAAATATGTTTTATTATTATTATTATTATTATTATTATTATTATTATTATTTTAATATATGATTGAAGCATAATTTTTTTTATTGTCCAATAAACTTATCATTTATTGTGTTTTTAATTTTTTTAGTGGTTGAATGAAAATCGTCTAAAACATCATTTTTCTTAAGGTTTTTACAGTTTTTGTGATGTCACCTCATCATCAGATCAACGACTTACAAACCTTAATATATTTTTATATAATAAAAACTAATTTCAAAATTTTAATGTCCCAACGTTTTAAAATTATATTTATTGTTTATGAAATTCAATATATTAAATATTTTATAAATACAGATATTTATTTTTATCGATTATTTCACCTTTAAGCCACTTCTTTATAAAGTGTATCACAATAACCCTATATTCGTAATTTTTTTTTGTAGATCTGGATAAAAAATGTAAATTATTTTTGCGGACCTGGGTGAGAATTGTAATTTTTTTTTGCAGATTTGAGTAAAAATTTGTAATTTTTTTGCGGACATAGTTAGAAAGTGTAAATTTTTTTGTCTTTCAGCTGGGTACACAATTGCAGACGTAGGTTTTGCGGACCTATGGCTATTTTGATAAACTTGAAAAGAAAATGGCTACGAGTGAAACTAAGGTCTTGTTTGGTTTGAAGGAATGGAATGGATTTGGGGGAATTTGCATTTCAAATCCATTCCAATCTCTTGTTTGGTTTGTTTGATTGTCCGGATTTGAAAGCCTAGTATTTAATTGAAATTTTTCAAACATAGAAAATTGAAAATCCTTAGAAAGTGTTCGGGATTTTACGGGATTTCGTAAACTTTTATACAATAAGGTTTCAAAAAAATGTTAAAAACATTCGTTTTATAATAATTGATTAATAAAAATGTAATTCAATTATTTTTATAATTATTTTCTATAAATTATTTATAATAATGAAATCCAAATAGTAAAATAAATGTGATAAGAGGGAAAAAGGAAGCAGGATAAGGGAAGTGAAAATTTAGTGGAATTTGATAAATTGAGAAAATTATCTTTTTAAGTTCTCTAATAAATCGTTTTTGGACCTAAATATTAATAAGATAAAATATCATATTTTATATAACTTTTCCTCAGGGTTTTGTAACAAGTTAAAGTTGTCTAAATTACAGCTCCTTTGAATTGAGAAATTGAATCTCAAAAGTACGATCATTCAAGTAGGGTCGTTTTTGGGGAGGGTTGATCGGGTATAGTGATGGCCAAAAACCGGTTTCAAAGTTTCTCATAACGGTCCCGTCGTAACCAGTCTCGGTCCTGTTCAAAAAAGTTGAGTCCGGTCAAGCTTTATTGTGACCGGTTATGGGTCGTCGGTCTCTGTCCCGGTCATTAAAAAACATTTTTTATTGTTTTAATGATATATATTTTTAATACATAATAAAATTTGTAATTGGTCACTCAAATACACTTTAAAAATTTGTTTTATTATAATTAAAATTACATTGTCTTACAAAATATAACGAGAAACCGATAATTGTGAACGTTTTTTTTTTTTTTTTGCGTTTTTTTACGAATCGAGAACTTGGTATGTAAATCACTCAACCAATACACTTATATATAGTATTTATAAAGCAAAGAATACAAAAAAGGGCCAAAAAGCGGCACGGCTATATTTTTAAAAAATCAGACCGGGCCATAACCGGTCCCAGATTTCGGTCCTATAACCAG